CAACAGTAATTGCTCCAAGCAGGTGTGGAAACAGGGTACACTATGATTAATTTGACTACCAAGTTCCCGTTTAATAGTCAGTTGGCATTGCTGGGCTTGATAAAGGGCCTCCACATGTTGCCATGCTGGCATTTGTTCCAAAGGTTAATCACCCAAACAGATGGTGATTGTGCAATGCCATGCCTAGCACAATAGAATGCAGGGGAATACCCGTTTCTTGGGCCTCTGGCATGCATGCACCAAGTGTAGGGATGGTGTGGTTTGGAAATGTACAAAGGGAAATTTGGCTCTGATTTCTTTAGTTCTGATATTGTGTGACTTACGTACATGTACATACCGCGCATTGTAGTTGTTTGTTGATAACAGTGTAATTGGCCTTTAACAGTACGTGTACATGTACAACGTGCAATGGACATGGTACAGTGTACATGTACACATTAATCCTGTTTGTAAAGTCTGTTTAATTTTTGCAAAGTAGAAGCAGATGTGTCCATAATTTTCCTTATTACTGGTAGTGATGTTTTTCACTAGACTTTACAAACTGAGAAAGTAGGTGTCATGTACTGTGCATTGAAGGTGACTCCACTAATTGCTAAAATGTGCACTGTTTCATGTTGGACAAAATGAAGTCGCAGTTACAATCTAGAAATTCCCCATCGCATTTCTGGGAGTTGTTACTACGCTTAGAGGTTTACTTTTCTCCAACGATGGCACACAATTTCATACACTCACCAGTAACATTTCACACACTGCAAGTTTTTACTGATGGAGTTCATTCCTTTTTAAAGATTTCTTGCATATTGTCTAACACAATTTCGAAGTTTTCCTGAGTTTTACTTTGCTTTCTTTTTTTGGGGGGGGGGGAAAAATATGTCTGTGAACTTTTCCGTACATGTAACTTTGGAAAACTTCCATCGAGTTTAAGTGAATGTAATTCATGTACATGTAGTCTTTGTGGACCGTTGGAAAATTAACATGGCTCATACACGCAGCTTCGAAATCTGTTAAATACAGAGTTCTAAATTTAGCGTGGTTTTTTTTCTTTTATGAGTCACTTCCCATATATGTGCTGGTGGCATTCAGTCCATCATAATTTATTGTTGGCTATTATCATTTAATATCAGCAATAACCTTTTGTTGTCTGTTTTCTGTTTGTCTTTCCCCACTTTGAATATGCAGTGATCATAAAACCATATCTTATTTTTTGTTGACGGTCTCAGGTTACATGGGTGTTGCACTTGACCTTAAAACACACACAGACCACTAGTAGTGTGATAACAGGTGTTTGTCACTGGATTATAGGACTGTCAGCAAGCCGGAACACATTTGCAGTCTTTCTTTTGTGGCTGGATCATGTGTGATGTACATGTAGGCGTAGGTTGGACACAGAATTGAAGTTTAGTCATTTGTGTCCTATTAGCTTAGGTACGTGTAGTCACTGAAATGTGCACTGAGTGAGGAACCCTGTATCCCTCCTTTTGATGGGTGAGGCTACCAAGCCATAACACCCACTTGGCTGGCAGAGAGGCACCAGAGTTGCCTGGCAGGCTTTCCAATTGTCTGTGCTGGAGGACCAACGTGTCTCAACTTGTTGGCTTGTTGGGCCGGGTTACCTCAGTGGTCTGATCTTGGGAAACTGGCCCCTCACAAGGGGCTCTTTGTAATGGGCCTGGCTATTGCTGTACATCTAGAATTTAATTTGTCCGCATAAAAAAAGGGGACTGGATTGTTGATTTGTGAAGAATTGAGGAAAAGCAGTCAGTAACCCTTTTTGTAGTTGTTCAATCACAGATTCAGAGTACAGGCCATGCATCTTCAGACTTTTCTATGGGCCTTTTTTGGGGGGGGGAGGTTAATATTTTCTTTAACGTCACTTTAACAATTCTCTGTTGCTTGAAAGACTCTGAAAAAGACACAAAAGTGGAAAAATATGGGATGTTACATTTTTGAGATGTTCTCTCTCCCAGCGGGTTCAATTTTGCCCACTCTGTGGAGAGATTATTGCCCGTTTCTGTGAAACTGTAGCACGCTGTTGCCCTTCTTGCCCTGTTCAGCCTACGACAGGGCTCCGGGTTTGAACTAAAGGTCAAATCAGTCGAATCAAAGCTTCTGAGCACACCTCAAAACTCTCCTTCCATTAAATGTACGTGCACATGTACTTGCGACTGGTCTCGTGAAAAGTTTTGTGAGAGAAATCAGGGGAGGACTCGACTGTCACCGTGTGCTCTTCAGAATACTGGACAGATTTCTTGCTGAGCTAGAGCATGTTTGACAG